ATGTTACATTATCTTGTCCTAGTCACTGGATGTATGTCTGTTGGAAAAATTCAAGAGTCTGAAGTTTTTCGAGTTACTTCCACTGAATTTATATCACTTCGAGTTGATGCTTCAGATGAGGATCGCATTTCAGAAGTACGAAAAGTTTTGAATTCAGGAAACTTTTATTTTGCATGGTCTGCATCTGGAGTCAGTTTAGATCTGAGTCTTAATGCACACCGTAGCATGCAAGAACATACAACTGACAATAGGTTTTTCTGGTGAGTCCAAATTTCATTGTTGCCCTTTTAATCATGTGCTATGAGTAGATTGGTGACTTTAGGGCATGATACATCCAGCCATTACTATTTCCAGAGATAACAAGAGGTGGACATTGCCCCTCTTTTCTCTTTCCAATTCTTCAGCAGATCAGCCATTATTGGCTTGGAATCTAACATGAAATCCATTTATTCTGATAAATTTCATTTCAAAAATATGATTTAAGATTCAGGAATTATTTATAATGAAATTGTGTTATCACAATGATAACACAATACTGTTTATCATTCTTAGTTTTCATTCTTGTCTCGTATTATCACCATCCTAAACCAACATTCCCTCTTAAATTTTGAGATGGTAAGTAGATTTTCTTTTTTGCAATGTCAGGAATTAAACCCAGAACCTTGAGTCATAGTAGGCAAATACTCTCCCATTGAGCTGCTCCCCAGACTTAGTATACAACAGACTGTAAAGAAATAGTATACTGAGGGGTTGGGAAGGTGGCTCAGTGGTAGAGCGCTTGCCTTGCATGCCTGAGGCCCTGGGCTTGATTCCTCAGTGCCACATAAGCAAAAAGATAAAAGCCGGAAGTGGCGCTGTGGCTCAAGTGGTAGAGTGCTAGCCTTGAGCTGAAGAGCTGAGGGACAGTGCCCAGGCCCAGAGTTCAGGCCCCACAACCAGACCCCCCCCCCCAAAAAAAAAATAGTATACTGGAACAAAGTACTACAGTAAATAAAGCTTATGTAGATACTGTGATACATTACTTGATAATGCATCACTGTGCTGTATTATAAATAGGCATAAAATGGTGAGATCACATGAGAATATAATTAGTATTCTTTATGATAGCATACTGGGTTGCTTGTGTAGTGACTTTGTCTACAGCCATCATCTTTGGTGCCTTTTCTCTTTAATGTCAGGTATAAATTATATCTCACTGTATTTCACTGTATTAACATATATTGTAAAACCAGTGTTCCCGCTCTCTGTTCCCTCCATAGTTGAGATTCAAGGCTTTAACCTGTGTATTTTCTCTCCCTATTTCTTTCATCATAATTTGTATGGTTCTTGAGTAGTGTGCATTTATGTTTGACACATTTGCCCTGTTTATTGCAGGATGCAAAGTCAACAACAATCTTAAAAGACAAAACTAAGCTCTAGTTATGCTTCATAATTTACATGGAAGTCTTGGCCCAGAGGAATGACATAGGGGAACAGAGAGGGCAGAATGAGCTAAAGCTGTAGAACATGATCAGAGATTTGGGCTCAGTAAAGGAGGAAACAATGATGGGATAGAAGACCTTGTTTGAAATATAAAAGATAATAGAGGAGATGAGTGAACATGAACATGAAGCTCTTTAGCTCATAGAACCTAGTAGTGATGGAATGTATTTTTGTCTAGCATTCAGAAATAGGCTTTCCAAAGTTGACCTGTGTCAACTCAGTGCCTTTTCTAATAGAAGATACTAACGTCCTTTGAAAGGACTTCAACATTGCAGCCATGCATTGGGCACTGTACTCACCTTTTGATTCCCTGATCATTCTTATCCTCAGTTCCTTAGTCTGGAGAGAAAAGCTTTTCTGCCAAAGTAGAAATCTATACAGATGCAGTTTCATTTGCCAAGGTTAACCAATAAGAGTAATTCATTCATACTTTCATTCAATTAAGGGTAGATCATAGAGAGCCTAAGGGGTTTGTCCAGTAGGAGATAGATTGAACAAAAGGATGATGAGTACACGGAAGGTGAATTTTGCTTTTTCATTTTTTGTTATTTTACTAAGGACTGGAAAACTTGTTTCAATTTACATAAGAAAATGAAAGATTTTAGAATTTATACACTTGTAACAATCTAAATCCTTTTTAGGATACAGTATATTTTATAGCTAAAGTATCAAATACTTGAAAATTGAATGGAAAGTTGAAGCTGCCATTAGTCAGCAGCTGTGAAGACATTCATAGAATTGAAACAACAACACATTTTTGTTAATAAAGGAAACTGAACCTGGGTACCAGTGGCTTATGCCTGTAATACAAGCTACTCAGGAGGTTGAGATCTGAGGACTGCAGTTCAAAGCCAGCGCAGGCAGGAAAGTCTGTGAGACTCTTAAGTCCATCAAAGCTACCAAAAAAGCCATTGGTGGAGCTATGACTCAAGTGGTAGAGTGCTAGCCTTGAACAAAAGAAGCTTTGGGACAGAGCCTAGGCCCTGAGTTCAAACCCCAGGATTAGCACCAATAAAAAAAAGAAAAAAAGATATAACAGAAATGAGACACAGTGCTAAAACTACACATATACACACAAAGATTCTTTAATGCTGACAATGCATCATGTAACTTAAGAACACTGATCTCTTTTTATAGCCTTATCTTCAGATAATTAACATAGAAAATATAAATCAATTGATTAGTATTTGTTGCCTTTTAATTAACTTTAAATTAATGTTCTAAATTAATGTTTTAAATTTTTTACTTTGTTACTTAGGACTTAATAACTCAATACAGTTATTTCTTTTTCCCTTAGGAACCAATCTTTGCATTTGCATCTTAAACACTATGGTGTGAATTGTGATGACTGGTTATTACGCCTCATGTGTGGGGGAGTAGAAATCAGAACAATTTATGCTGCTCACAAACAGGCAAAGGCTTGCCTCATTTCAAGATTAAGCTGTGAACGAGCTGGAACTAGGTTTAATGTCCGGGGAACAAATGACGATGGTCATGTTGCCAATTTTGTAGAAACAGAGCAGGTATATAATGTTGTATATTGCTTATTCATGAATTATTGGAGCATAGAAAACACAAGAATTTCAGAATTTTACTTGATTGAGAACACATTTTGATATATTGTTGACTTATAATGACCATAAGTATGTATTGGCCTTACGGTTTCCCTAAAACTAAATCATTTAGTATGACTGTTATGATAGGTGACAAGATATGACATAGTCAGTGAGCTTCATTTGAAAGTGAATTTCAAAGTCCTTAATTATAGAGTTATATAACCTTAAAAGTATTTTTTGTGTGGAATTAAATCTAATTCTTAGTGAGATATGTGGACTCCTTAAAAATGAAAATTTATGGGTTTTTGGTTATGAAACTATATAAGTATAATTTCCAACTCAGGTTTTCCACATAGGTTTTGAGAAATATGAAACTCAGGAAAATGAATTAAATAAAATATAAAATATATATGTATAAAATATGAAAATGTAAAAAGTTCTCTTTTAAGAGTTGTGATTGTTATTCTTATATTTTTATTAGTTAATATTATTATTAACTGAAAAACAATTACATTTTTATTGACCTATTTTGGATACCTTGATGAGGACCATTTGTATATGAGAAATATGTCATAAAATGTACTAGTCTACAATAGATTTTAGTAAGTTTGTTATTCTAAAATAGAGGTAACTGCTTTTTCCTTTGGAAGTGTTCTATCTATGTATCTATATACTTACTTTTTGTAGGTTGTATACTTAGATGACTCTGTTTCTTCATTCATACAAATCCGCGGATCTGTTCCATTGTTCTGGGAGCAACCAGGATTGCAAGTATGTTGTTTAATAGTTACTTATTAGTTTCTTTACTTGGAAATAAACTATATTCTTAGGATTCTCAAGATATTTGATTAGCTAATTGATCATTCTATTTCATGTAATAATATCTAGATTCACAAATGAGGTTTTTTTACAAGCTTAAGTTTTTTTCCTTGAATGCTCTTTCAAAATGTGTCACTTCCAGGCTGGGAAGGTGGCTCAGTGGTAGAGCTCTTGCCTTGCATGCAAAGTGGCGCTGTGGCTCAAGTGGTAGAGCAGCTAGCCTTGAGCTGAAGAGCTGAGGAACAGCGCCCAGGCCCAGAGTTCAGGTCCCACAACCGGACCCCCCCCCAAAAAAAATGTGTCACTCACTTTTGTCTCATTATAATGAGATACCCAAGGCTACTCAACTTTATAAAGGAAGGAAATTTATTCTGGTTCACAGTTCTGAAGGCTGAAGGCAAAGATTTAGCATCCCCTTTTAGTTTGACCTCTGGTGAGAATGTAATGCTGGATGTATTGTGACCTTAGAAGGATGGAAGTGATGTTGGCGGAGAGACCAGTTCTTTTTTTTTTTTTTTTTTTTTTTGGTGAAAATACCATAGAGAGGGGTTATAATTACATGGGCAAGGTAATGAATGCATTCCTTATCAAGCATTGTTGCCTCCTACTTTGTTTCCCCTTACCATCTCTCCTACCCCCCCCCCCCAAAGTTGTAAAGTTTGTTTTCAACATAACATCTTGTACATCTCATTGTTGCAATGGGTCTACCTGTATCCCTATTTAAACAATTTGTTTTTTTCCCTTCCCCTCCACAAATTATACCAACATCAAATACAGTGAAAACAGGGGCTATACCGTGGGGGAGGGACATACAAAGCAACAAAGAAACATTTATAATTATGTTAGAAACAATAGCCAGAAAGAAAAAACATTTGAATCCTTATCTTGAGGTTCATTTCGTGAACATCAACTTATCTGACCATTTCTGCTTGTCTCCGACATATGCTGGTTATTGCAAATAAGGGAAACCATGGGACCTTTGTCCCTGGGCCTGACTTACTTCACTTAATATAATTTATTCCACGTCTTTCCATTTCCTAACAAATGGGGTAATGCTATAATTTCCGATGGAGGTATAGAATTCCATTGTGTATATATACCACATTTTCTTGATCCATTCGTCTACTGAGGGGCATCTGGGTTGAAAAACGATGGTTAGATGCCACGAAGTAGGTGGCAGTACCTTAACTGTAAGCATGTTGTCAGGCCCAAGGCCTTTTCCATCCTTGTCAAGTCGAGTGCTAACTTTCTCTCCTTTCATACAACACAGACCAGATCTTGAAACAGGAAGCCACAGAGAGATTCAGGAGTCCAGACGTAGGCTTTTCTAACAATTCACTCCCTTAAGATCCCAGACCAGGAAACCAGAATTCCCTTCTGAGGGCAGCTTTCCCACTGACCTAAACACCTCTTGACAGTTCCATACCTTCTCCCAGCTCAGTAAAATATATATTACATAAAACATATAATAAAATGGGATTTTTAATTCAAATTTTCTCTGGATTTGGGATTTTTTTGTTTTTTTATTGAATGTTTTTCTGTCCCTTTAGTTTGCACCTCTTTTTCTATGTCCGTGATTCTTAGGTTTGATCTCTAAATAGTCCTAGAGGTTTTTCATGTTCCACTTGTACTTTTTTTTCTACTTATTTGACTGTTCTTCCACCATGTACATCTGCCATGTCCTTGCCAGTCCATTCATTTGAAGAGGTTTTCCAGTGTTTTGACTTAATAGCTTTTCATTTCCTGAATTTGAGTTTGATTCTTCTTTAAGATTTCTCTGTCTTTATTAAATTCCTTTTTCATACCCTTTGTTCTTATTTCATTCACGTGTGTATTTGTCGCCAATGTGGAGTTCTTTTAGTTGTTGATTTTTATTGTCTTCTAATTCATTCAGTCTTTTTACACATGTTCTCTTTATTTTATTGATCATTCTTATAGTCAAGCTTTTGAGTTGGGCTTTCTTTCTTTTTGATTATCCTTATCTGTTATTGTGAGCCACTGAAAGCCCCAGTTCCTGCACAGTTCCTCCATTTGTACCCCAGGGGCAGCAGATGGACTACCCATGAAGTATCCTCATAATGTACCTGATAATGGGGGAAACAGACAATTTAGTTCTGCACTAGTGGAGCACAAAGGGACTTAAGTGATCTGCCTGTAGGAATCAGCTCTTTCACATCTTGCCCTGCAGTCTGTCATCCTGTGGGAAGTCTAAGGCTGGAGGGATGGGGTATCATGGGAGCTCTGAAACTCTTAGCCCTGCCTGCAGGAAGCCCCCAGAATCACTGGTTGCTGAGTGGTTTACTAGCTATAGAGCTTAGGCACTGTTTCTGTTATAATCCTCAGGCATTGGTTCTTGCTCTAGCCAGGGAGAGTGGATAGCATCTAGGTGATTTATTGCCTGAGTCACTGCTACTGCTTTAAATTCTGGGCTTACCTGTATCCAAGCCTTTTCCTTATCCTAGCTGTTTCTTTGAGTGTCTCCAGAGTGCTTAGCAAATTGCAAGCAGCTTGCATGCAGTTAATGTAACCTGATAACTCAGGTACCTGGAATGAAGCAGGAGATCCTTACTCAGACACTGCATTTTTGCACTCTCCAGTCTAAAACAAGCAAAAGGTTATCTTGTCCTATGCCTGTCATACTAAAGCATTCAGTGTCCCACCAAGTCCCCACCTTGGGATTTAAGGTTTGCAAGAGTTTTGGAATTATCATATAGCTAGATCTGACAGTGTATGGAGGAGGCACCAGGCATCCTTGTAGTGGAGGCTTCAGCTTTTCCTTGCTAGGGATGCTAGGTTTCTTAATGAATGAGATAGTACTTTTGGCGCTCTCTCTCTCTCTCTCTCTCTCTCTCTCTCTCTCTCTCTCTCTCTCTCTCTCTCTCTCTCTCTCTCTCTCTCTCTCTCTCTCTCTCTCTGTGTGTGTGTGTGATAGAATTTGAACTTAGTACTTCACACTTTAGAGGATACTGTTGGACAGAGTACCACTTGAGCCATTCCTCTAGCCTGATAATATTAATTCAGTCTTGAAACCAAAAAGCACTTTGAATTTTGTTTTCTATTCTTTTTGTTTTTTGTCTTTGTCAAACTGCCTTGAGTGATATGGCAACTCTTCTACACCCTCTTTAAAGTCATTTTGTTGACAGGTTAGCATGAATATATTCTAGAGAACTGTGATCCCAAAACTTCAAAGAGAGAAAGAGGAGGGAGCGGGAGGAAGGGAGGTTTAAAATGAAGTTCTCACTTTGAAACTGGGATTTTAGGTCCAAAGTCTCTGAGTCTCAAAATAGATCTAGCCACTTGCCCTATATGCCAAAGAAAAAGACATGGCAAAGGGCAGAGAAATACTTACTACATGGCAGCCAGGGGAAAAGAACACTTTAATACATCTTTAGCTGTCTTGAGGTACAGACATTGACTTCAAGTTAAGTAGAGAAAATTGGGGGCAGGGTCTGTGATAAATATGCATAGATAAAATAGTAAAATAGTCCTTAAATCACAGGTATGGCCTGGTTGACCATTAGCTTAGTCTTTGCCCTTGTCCTTCAAGCAGTTCCAGAGAAGTTAATACTTTATTACTGGGACAGAAGAGGAACAAGGTGGTCTCCTGAACTTTTGACTGTGTACTTTAAAATATAGAAGACATTCTTGTTGAAGGGGCAATTTGCCTTCCCCACAAGATTATCATTGAATCTAGTCTTTGTCCTGCAAACAAGGTGATTGCAAAATTGACTATAACAGAGAATAGTTCAGATCAAAGGGCACACATTCAAAGGACCCAGCAGAAGCTTTCTTTTTTACAATCTCACCTTTTTATTCTTGTATCTATTATGTCTTTCTCAAAACTACTTACCTCTGCCACCATCGTATGTGAGAAGAGAAAATGTATCCATACACACTAGTAAATATTTCCCACCTTGTTTATTTCACTTAATTAAAATTTTCTAATTCTGCCAACTGTGCTGTAACTGTAGTTGTGTGACTGTGAGGCTGACTTGGTAAGTCTGCTTGGTCAGGAAGGGGGGATGGTAGTTTAAACTCACTGGAGTTTTGATGATGGAAGAGGTGACTAGGAAAAAAAAACACATGGACACTAAAAGAGTAGGAATTTAGTGAGGAGACAGAAATTTCATTTGAGCTAAAAAATTTCATTTTTTAGAATTAGTAGTGTAACTCTAGAGGACTAGTTACATCTATTAATTTACATAGGGCATGTATTTTGAGCATAAGGTCATAATATATATCAAAACACTCAAGGATTGTTTTTTATTTTTGTCAGTCATGGGGCCTAAACTCTGGGCCTGGGTGCTGCCCCTTAGCTCCTCAGCTCAAGGCTAGCACCCTACCACTTTAGCCATAGTGCCACTTCCGGCTTTTTCTGCTTATGTGGTGCTGAGGAATGGAACCCAGGGCCTCATGCAGGTAAGGCAAGCATTCTACCACTGAGCCAGTTTCCCAGCCCTTCAAAGATTTTTAATCCAAAAATTACTGTTTTCAAATATTTTGGTACTGCATGTTCAGCAAATGAGTTGTTACGTATTTTAAGCAATAATATTTCTTCTGGTATGATTAAATGTATTTTATATGTTAAGGTGGGATCTCATCGTGTTCGTATGTCAAGGGGATTTGAAGCCAATGCACCTGCTTTTGACAGGTAAAAGCTGATTAATTATATGTAGTGCTGTAACATTTGTCATTGCTAAGCAGTTTACTTAGTTATATTCATTTATTCATTTTAACTTTGTTCATCGAAGTAAAATTCCTAGAAGACCATGATTCCTAGACTGAGGGCAGTAATGCTCTAAATGTGGGTACCTTGTTCACGATGCTAGACTCTAGCCACGTGTGGCTACTGAGTGCTTGAAATGTGATTGATCTAATTGAAATGTGCTGTAATTATCTACACTGGGATTCAAAGATTTGGTGCATAACTACATAAAATAAAAAAATAGAAAACCTCAATATTTTTCCATATTGATTTTATGTTGAATGATAGTTTAGATGTTTTGAATTAAGGTATATATAGTTTTCCTTTTTGCTTTTTTGGTTTGGTTTTGCTTTTTTTTAATCTTAAAATTTTAAATGATAGATAAGGCTTATTTTATATTTATATAACATTTCTATGTACAGTATTCTCCTCTTAGCCTATTGGTTACCTGAAACTATATATATTAGTGCATGTGTGTGTGTGTATGTATTTATGTATATATGCTGAGTTTTTTCTTAAAGGGATACACCTAAGCTAAAAGTTTGATAAATTAGGCACAGTAAAATATTAACTACAAAAATCTATTAACACTTTTGGATTGTTGTAATGATATATTATAACAAAAGTTTTATGAATGTGGTTTCTCTCTTTTGAAAGACTCAAGACGGATATTAGTATTTTTAGAACTGTGACTGACCTCAGTAACCAAAATAATAGAAAACAAGACCATAGATAGGGAATATTGTGCCTTGAAGCTGGAGAGAAAAACACCTCTTTCTTACATGGGGCCTATTTTTCAAAAGCAAGATCTAGTAAGGAAGTTGCGCTAAATACTCTTGGAGTATGTGATAAACTTGCATGGAAAGGTCAGCCCCTTCTGCCCCCACTGCCTGAGCAGCCAGTGAGGCCTGTTCTCTGCTTTGTCTGGAGCTGGCCTCAGAGTGAGAAGGGAGCTAGGTGACTCCAGAGCTCCTTCCAAAATGGGAGTTTCTGTGTCAGTGAGTCAGAGCAGAAATCGTATTTTCTGAATTTTTATAAATTCAGAGATTTGAGAACATGCAGAGTGGACTTGTGCCCAATTTAACCAATTTTATCAGTTTAAAATACTGCTACCTAGGTACTATTTAACAATGGGGGTATGTGTGTATACACATTTAAATAAAAGGCTTATCATTTAACATATGCTTATTTCCTTTTCTCAATAGGCATTTTAGAACACTTAAGAATTTATATGGAAAACAAATAATAGTAAATTTGCTTGGATCTAAGGAAGGTGAACATATGCTAAGTAAAGCTTTCCAGGTAGGTATGGTCATTTTTTCCTCCATTCTGGCTTATAGTTACCTAGAAAGATACTTTAAAATAATTCAATGGTCAGTGTCCTGGGAAATAAGTCATTTCATAGAAAAAAGTTTGATCCTTTAATTCTTGGAGGCAGTTAGGGATCAGTTTAGTCTAGTGCTGCTGAAATATGAATTATGGAAAGGTTTCCAGACATTGACTCTGGGTTCTTATTTGCTTACTTAATTTTGTAGAGAAGCAGACAAATACTCTTTCCCCCAG